CTGCCTGCCCTCTCTCTTCCCTCTTTCTTCCTTCCTCCTTTCTTACCTTCCCTTCTTCATCTGTCCGTTCTCCCTCTTTCTCTCTCGTTATGGGCAAGCCTCTAACCCTGTCCAGAACCTTTCCCTTTCGCTTTTATTCCCTTGCTCCTCTTCTAACGTCGCTTCCTCGGGAGTTGGTGATTTCTAGCTGAATTGTAGAACGGAGTTTTACGGACAGCGGACGTTCGTTTGGTTGATTCGAGGCGATGCTCGGTGGACGGCGGGCGGGCGGGCGAGCGAGCGAGCGAACGGTTGGAACGAGTCGAGTCGGTAACCTTCTTTCCGGCGAAATTATCATAATGGCTCGGAACAGAAGCACGGCCCGGAGCGTTCGAAAACTGCTCGCACGATGCATACTCTCTCGGCATCTTCCACGAGAGGGAGAGGAAGCTTCTTGCCCTGCCGGACCAACGCCGTCTATACGCACACGCACACACGCTTCTACGTATATCTCTCGCACGGTAATTACGTGACGTATTAATACCAGTTATTCCGCGTCGACTGGTTCTCTGCCTGTCTCGATCCACAGGTGTATTTCGGATCTCCCTTCCCTTCTGCCTCTCCTCCTTCTTCCCTTTTTCTCTCCGCTCCTGCCCTACTGCAGGTCTCGCGACGAGTTCGCATCCTCCCACGAAGAGTTCAACGAAAAAGGCGAAGAAAAGCAAGGACGTACCCTTTATAGCGCCGAGTCACGCACCATTTCTAACGAGGATTCGTTTGCGTCTGCGGCTTCAGTTTGAATTTACGAGGCTAATGGCGGTCGGTCGAGTCTAATTCGAAGCAAGTGTCCGGAGTGGCGTGCGATAACGGTGAGAAGAGGAACAGAGTAGAAGCGGTAGGCGCGAGCGTAACCTCTCGGTATGTTGGCCGGCCCCGGTAACGGGACGACGATACGGAAATCTTAATAGCATCGACTCGCGGCACTTCTCACCGGCCGCCTACTCCTTTGGCTTGCCACCTTGGAGCCGGAACTACCGCCCGAGGGGACCAGCACCCGCTTATTAGCCGCGTAAAAATCACTCCGCGCGATGTTGCATCGGCCACGTGATACGCGCTCCTTTCTCCTCTCTTCGTCCTCGCGATAACACCAGAGGAAAGTGTCCACAATTTCCACGTAGTTCCCCGTTCGAAGAGAACGTGGCTTGTCGTATCCGCGCTCAGTTCACTTTTCGATTCGAACCAGTTGGGTAACACTTTTCGTAACATAGGTTTTTGCAATTTACCAGGAAACGGGGAGAAAGAGAGAGATAAGAGAGCGGGGATAAGAAGCCGGGGAGCTCTCTTCCCATCGTTAGGCCGTTCGGTTGCGAGACCGCCGCAGGGTTTTTGCGTAGGTGTTTATTTATCGTCGGGGGCCGCACGCGGAGAATTAGTGCTCTAATTCCGGTCCGAGTATAATCTCTATTTGGAGTAATTATCTTGCAAACGCTAATGGATCTTCCGCTCGATCGAGTCGAGACGTAGGATGGTAGATACGTGTCGGTCCCGCGGAAATTCCAGCGAATCGTAACCGGAGACAGATAAACAAGTGGACGAGCGAATCGCTTTCCTTCGATCTAGGTCGACCGCGTTGGCTAATAGCTCGTAGCTCGTTCTCTATGCAAATGTATCATTCGAACGTAATTGTACAGGAGCTTCAAGTAACCCGATACAGATTTTTACCGTTTCTCCCCAAATTCTGTAGAAATTTATCGTTGAAAAATAATCAAATACTTTTTCGCCAAGTTGGAAAAATTCTATTATCCCTCGAATCGAACGGAAGTGGTTGGTTTAATCGGAGAAACGGGATCGATCGGATTGGAAATTTACGAAGCGAAGGTGGACTGGCGCGAATGATGCGAGTGTACCGTTAACGAGAGAGCCTCTTACCTTTCCGTGATTTCTTCTCGAAAGGTATCCGAGTATTTCGAGGTAGAGGTTAGAGTGGCCTATACCTAACAGACGACCCATTGACCTCGTACCGGTGTTCATGTAGGTCGTTACCGTGTCACCGGTGAAATTGTAGGCAGCTAGATTCGCGACTCGTCGCTCTCTTTCCTCCTTGCTTCGCTTCGAACACTCGCGGAGAAGCTCGCGAGGTTCGCCGAGAAGGGAGTTTGTACGGTGATCTGCTCGGGAGATCGCAGCGGTGTGGAACGCGTAACGGAACGCCGGATGTTAGCGCCAGCGTTGCTCGATTCGTGGATCGTTATGCCTCGGCATAAACGCGAATCTCCTAACTGACCTCTCGATCCGTTGGCTTAGGTAGGCAGAGGTAGGTTGAACACCTATGCGTACGGGGGTTGAAGATAAAGTGTGTTACCCGGTGTTGTTGAAGCGATAGGTAGGAGGAGCGCGACTGGACGTTAGGAGACAAGGGGGGTTAAGCTGCCGACGTATCGTTGAATCGCGTGAAACTTCTAAGCCGTACGTCATGCCCGCTAATGAAATTCCTTTCCGCGCGGCGTCCCGCGCGATCGTCTTAATCAACGCGCTGTCGCTGCGAACGAAAAAAAATTAGCATTTTAAATCACGCGCTCCGCGGGTCCATCTTGATCTCCGTTCGCGCTGCTCCTCCGCCTCGCTCTTTCGTTTCCGACTCGACTCCGACGTCATCCCCGTAATTCGTTTATTATCGAACGCGAACGGAAGATTGATCGTCGTTTCTCGATGTTTATAATTATTTTGAACGATGCCCGGCGCTCATTGTGCGTCGCGTCGGAGACGGATATTCCTCTGAAATACGGACTGGATGGATTCTCTCCTTTTTCGCTCCGTCCTCGTCTATTCCTAACCTACGCTCTCCGCGCCGCTCTCCGCGCCGCGCGTCAGCATCATCAATCCACGTCCGAGAATCTCTCTATGGCCGCGCGCGAGCGCCTCTTCTCGCGGGACGCGTCGCTTCGAGACCTTGTCTCGTTCGATCGCCATCGATTCTGTTACGATCTAGCTCCTTGCCGGTCGACCCGATCCCGAGATACCGTCCAATGCAGCTTCGAAAAGGAAACAGCGGTGGAAGGCGAAAAGATTCCTTGCTCGAACGATCGACGCGGACTTTGGTACGCGACGGCGTTGCTGTGGTAACGATAACTTTATCTCGACATTGTCGACGCGTTTTTTTCCAACAATCCCACTGATTTTCTTTCGCAACGAAATAAATAAGCTTCTATTCGCCGGCAAGAAGAGGAAGATCTGAAACGGTTGTTTCCAGGATGACGTTCCGCGAGTGATTCAAGTTTCTCGATAATCTAAACGCCACGGTTTCTGCTGTTCGCTTCGATTTTGGAACAAAAAATCCCCTCTCGAGATAAAGCGAAGCGTTCGCGTTTGTTCGTGGCAATCGCGCGACCTCCGACCTCCGCGAGAAATCACCAGCCGCTGTCGCGAACCGAAGAATTAGGCGCGACGATCTGCGAGACGCTAGATTATTACGCGTCCATCGGCGCGCTATCCACGCTGCTCGACAAAATTTTCCTTCCGTTCTTCGTTCCCCCGCCCCAGCTTCATTTTCTGCCCTTCCTCCTCTCTTTTCCTCACCTTACACGCAACCGATCGTAAGGTTAGAAAAAGGAGAAGAATCGTTAACGGAGATCGAAACGGTTAGATTTGCCGCTCGAGCGAGCCACGAAACGAGTATCCGTGTTCGGGCCGACCGGTAACGGTGCCGAGTCTACGCGCCGAACTGTAACTTGGAAATAATTCGAGCAGCTTTGTCGAGAGCGTGTTGCGAACGAAAGAATAAGCTCGGAGAGCGGTCTAACGAGCGCGGTTAGATAGGAAGAGGGAGAGGAGAGACGGCAGGGCCCGTAAACGGTGTCCCGAACAACGACTGCGGACGCGGCTTTTTAGTCGGACAGGGCGGCGCGGAGAGGAGAGAAGGATAGAGGAGACGGTGTTCGTTAGCTGGGGGGCGGTGGTTGGAATTCAGCCGGTGCGCAGCGGGGTGTCGTTTCTCCTCTGGAGAAAAAGGAAGACCGAGAGACAGTCCCGCGTGCACCGTACGTGGAACATTCTCTTCCTATCTCTGCCTTTCTTTATTTTCTCTTCGCGCGCCTACCTCCTTCGATTCGCTTAGCCTAGCGGACGGAAACGTCCAAATCACCTCGCTTGTTTATCTCCGTATCCCTCGATGCTCCTCCGAGGAAAATCTCGCGCTACCTTCTCGTCTCGAGCGTTTGTCTTTGCACAATATTTGCGGATTCTTCGCGAGGAGAGGTACTCGAACGACTCTGTGCCCCACTCAACGGCACAGGCGTGACGTTCGTCGAACACTTCGCGCCTCGCTTTTCCCGCTTCCTCCATCCGCCGTTCCGAATTCCCCTGAAAATCCTGACAAACGGTCGCTCCGCTCGCGACGTATCGATAATTTGGCAAAAGTCGAGTTGAATTCCGTAGCCTTTGCGAACATTTAGGTGTACATATGTATGTACATACATATTTAGGTACCTCGTGTAACACGAACGCTCGTACCTTCGAGCACGGTGAACTTTTGCTCGAAAAGTTCACGCCTCATATTTCAGGGATTCCATCTTGACGAGTGACTGCGATACGAATTCGTGTTACACGAAGGTTACCTCCTAGGTGTAACTACATATGTATGTAGACTGTTTTTTTATTCTAAGTACATATATGTAAGGTGTGCATGCGTTAACCTGTTAACTGAGAAAAACTTTCTTCCTTGTCGAGAAAAGCGAACTCGGTTGACAGGTTACAGAATAGCCTTTCTGCCTACCCTAAACGAATCTTTTTCAATAAAATGTTCAAGGTTCGCGAGGTACCGGAAGTCGCTGTTCAATTCAAATCGATATACACGAGGAAATGGAAATGAATAGAATAAAATCGAATCGAATCGAATCGAATCAAATCAAGTCAA